GGGGGGGGGGGGGGGGGGGTCTGTATGGAGGGCGGGAGGGACGACAGACCCGCTGCTGCAAACCCTACAGAACAATACAGAACATGACTAATCAGGGCCTAGTCACTGCGTCAGCAGCCTCTCCACCCGCCCGCAATGGGAAAAACCCTCAGGGCACCGATCGGGGAAATGCATTTGAGCTCGCAGATCTGCGAGCTTGCCCTGTGCTCCACGGAAAGGCCTGAAGAGAGGTGCTTCGTCAAGAAATGGCCCAGATGTAGCGATTGGTAGAGGTTTTGACGTAGATCTGTCGATCTGTCGTATCGTCGTCATCAACATGACGGACAACAAGTTCAGGGAGCACTTCTGGGAAGCTCCAAAGGAGTACTTCATCCCTTTCTGGTACCTGTGAGCCACACGCACACTCACAGATGGAATTGGACATACCGGTGTCTGTCCCTCGGTTCTCTCTCTGTCTACGTCCACTCGCTGTCTGCCTGTCAGGATCATATCGAGCGTGTGCATGGTTGTTTCCGTGGTAGTTGGCACTCTACAGTACCTGAAGCTCAGGAAAATCGGCAATGAAATCAGAAAGTGAGAACAAAGAAGAAAGGACCAACGACAAACGTTTTACACGCACGGAAGTATGTCACACGTGTGTGTGTGTATGGTTGGTGTGTTTCTTGCTTTCTGCTCGATCAGACATCGGCAGGCTGTGTTCCTCCCTCGCAAGGTGGGTGGGGGGATGGGCAAAGGAAGGGTACACACACACCTGACCGACAGACAGACAGACAGGCAGACCGACAGACAGACAGAGAAGCAACCAGTGCTGCCTGCATGTGCTGTTTGTTTGTCGTGCGTGTGTTGTGTGTTGGTTTGGTTCTTCTGTCTGTTAGACACAGCTGTCCGTGGCAATGTCCAACCTCCCGCCGATCCTGGCTTTCCTCAACTGGTACTTTCCCGCCTGTCTACCATTGCACGAAGGAAGGGAAGGAGGCCTGCCGGCCTAGCAGCACTTGTTGTCTGTCTGTCTGTCTGTCTGTCTGTCGGCAGGGGCACATTAATGTTTCCGCACCAGAAGCTCACCTTCTGGGTGCTGTGTAACGTCTACATCGCACTGGTAAGACCGGCAAGACACACACACACACACATTCTCTCTCGTTCTCTGCCATCGCGCACACGTGTGTGTGTGGAGTGTGTGCAGGCTTTGTATCGCTCCTGGGAGATGATCATCATCTGTTTGGGAGGCCCTGAGCGGTTTGTGGAGCGTCTGAGAGGCAGGGGGCCCTACAGGGTCTACGTCGCCGTCCCTTGCTGCTGCTTCGGTGCACTGGTCAAGAAACGAGCATTCGGAGAGGTGAGCTGGCCATACCCTTACTCACAGAGAGACAGAGGGCATCTGTCTCTCTGGGGGCTTGGTTTGGTTTGCGTGTGTGTGCCTTGCGTTTTGTCGTTTCAGCTTGAGATGTGGGTGACCTACCTCTTTGTGGCCCAGCAGCTGTACGTTGGGCCCATCATGGCAATCATCAGGTCGCTCAACAGAGACAATGTGCTCGGACAGGTGGGGTGCAGCGGACACACACACACACACACACACACACCGGGATGGGATGCCTGTGTCCACCACTGCAGATCAGCAGCCCGATCAGCCTTTTGTCTACGCTGTTCGCCATGTATGGAGTGCACATTGTCTTCCGGGCCGCCAAGCCTTTCTTCATGAAGCAGCTCCACGACGCGGCAGGTGTGTGGGTGTGTGGGCGGGCTGGCCAGCGACACACGCCTGCGCATGACTGTCCGTCCGCTGTGTTTGGGTGGGCAGGACCTCGGTTCTGGGTGGTCAAGTCGACGGTAGTGCTGATGCGGCTGACCGAGCTGATCTGCAATATCAATGGGGTCGCCCAGGGCTTCCCTAACACGGTCTACACGCCGGTACGTGGGGACGTATGCGTGTGGCCGCAGAGCCATACACATACATCATGATGTGTGTGTGTTCATTGCTCATTGATTCAATGGCATGTGTGTGCCCTTCACTCTCACTGAAGGAGGTGATGGGTGTGATGTGGTCGGCCGTCTTCATCAGTGTGTGGTGTGCCATCATCACCTGCCTCTCCTACTTCTTCTTCGACGCGCGGGACCTCAACATACTAGAGGTGTTGCAGAAGAAAACGTCCACACACGAGGCCCTCTGAGTGTCTGTCTTTCTGGATGGATGGATGGATGTGTGTGTGTGTATGTGTGAAGGTTGAGACGAATCGCTTTCCGTCTGAGAGTGTGAAGAACTCGATGACGCCCACGGGCTACATGGAGGCGCCACAGCACACAGAGGAGAGAGGCGGTGAGCCACACATTATAGTGGACGGAGCCACCAATGCCAATGCCCCAGCAATTGTGAGGGACAACCAGACCACCTCCACCACCGCCACAACGACGGCACAAGACGACAACGCACACAGCCGGGAAGGCTCTTACGGCACCATGGGGGACACATCACTGTAGCCAGGACAGGCAGCGTGTCTGTCTCTCTCTCCTCTTTATCCAAGGTAAGTGTACGCGATGATCGCAGGCCTAACTGTCTTTGCAGTTTTTTCCCAGTCCGTCTAGTCTTTTTGATGTGTGTGTGTGTGTGAGTGTGTGTGTGTGAGTGAGTGAGTGAGTGGAGCGTCTTTATTTATGTCACATGACTGACAATTGTGAGATGGAGTGTGCAGGTAGATAGGTGCACATGAGTGATGCTGGGCGAGTGAGTAAATAAACAAAGTGCGCGTGTGTCACGTGTCTATGTGCTGGGTGATCGATCTTTTGGTGCCCTCATGCAGCCAGCCGAGGGCAACCAGTAGTAGACGCCTGTTGAGCACAGGCGTGCATGCAGCCCTTCTCTTCGTCCTTGTACGAAGCGCGCCGAGACCTCCAGAGGCCTTTTGCATGTTTAGTGTGTCGGCGGGTCGTGCAGAAGGCCGGATAAGGAAGAGTGAGTGTGGCTTTCCAATGCGGGACCACAAAATTTACGCCGCAAGCCAAACCCAGGAGGTCCGCCTTCACGCGTTTACAGGAAAGATTTCTGTCCCTGACGAGACCGTCTGCCATTTTCCTGCGCACGATGGCCGAGCTCACTCGTGTTGACGTGACGTCCCGCTTCGACAACCACATCGTCACGCTGCTGGAGGGCCTCGACGCCCAACGGACCGAGGTGGCCTCGGCATACGACTTCAACAAGCTGCTGAGCGACCACGGTGGGTGTGACGGCGCGGCCTCCGGTGACGACCAGCTGCAGCTCAACGTGGGCGGCCGCCTGTTCGAGGTCCGCCGCAAGCACCTCACGAGCGTCAAGGACACACTGCTGGGCGCACTGTTCGGCGGCCGCTGGGACAGTCGCCTCATCCCGCTCGACGGCCACGGACAGCAGGCCCAGAGGGTGTTCGTCGATGTGTGCCCTCGCGCCTTTGAGGTGGTTCACGAGGCGCTGCTGGAGGGGAAGCCGGTGGTCGACCAGCTCATGGCCGACGCAAAGACGCGCAACTACCAAGGTGACCCAATGGCGCACACACATGGCAGGCAGGCAGACAGGCGCTTGCGCAATTTGTTCTCTTTTCACCTGAGTCCGTGTCTGTGTGCAATTACTGTCTGGTCGGTTGGGTGTGCAGGTCTTCACGACTTCTACATTGCACTCTTCCGCCCATCCAGAAGCCCTTCGCCGACGTGCCTGAGGCCGACGTGCGCAACGAGGTGACTGTGACGACATCGGGAGAATCCGGAGCGCTGGGAGCTTTCATCGGCACTATGCAGAACTTCATCGCGGCATACCAAGCCCGGCAGAAGGAGATCGACACGCAGCGGCAGGAGCTGATGCTGCAGCATGGAGAGCTCACCAACGAGATCAAAGTAGGACACAGAGAGAGAGAGAGAGAGAAGGCACGTCTGTCTGTCTGTCTGTCAGGCCGTCACCCCCTTCTTTGCGCCTCTGATGGGGGCCGACCCCATCAGGTCAGTGAGTGTGTGCGGCCACAGCATCTCGACGGTGCAGTCCACTCTCGACAACATGGGCTGCATCGCGCTCTCCAATCGCTTCGACATGTACGCAACCACACCACACCACACCAGACCACCCCCCCATCGATGGCATCCCTTGCTCCCACCTCCCATGTGCCATCGATGCGATTAGGTGGCCGTCTCCCATCGAGGACGTGCCTGTCGACCACATCGGGAGGCTCATCGACTACTACCGCCGCAAGCGGCACGCGGCCTCCCTCACCGACACCCAGCTGCTGGGCGGCGTGCGGATGCCGCTGCTGGTGGACGGCGCGGCCAGGCAGGAATCGTTCAACAAGACGGCGGCCATGTACGGCGTCGAGACGCACAGGTCAGCCAAAGGCAGGAGCGATCGCCGAGTAATCGATGATCCCTTCCCTCTCTCTCTCTCTCTCTCTGTTTTGCTCTGCTCTCTCCTCTCAGCAAGCCCGTTGGCCAGCTGCTGGAGGAGAAGTCTGAGGAAGGCACGTGTGTGCTCTGCCTCGACAGACCCCCCACTGTCGTCTATTTCCCATGCAAAATGGTACGCACGCACACACACACACACACACACATATACACGGAGGAATGTGTGTGTCTGTCCCTTTGCCTGCCTGGCTGCCTGCCTGCAGCAATGCGTGTGCGCGGCGTGCCATGAGCGGCTGCTGCAGCGCGTGCCCCGAGCAGCTCGGCCGGGGAGCGGCAGCAGGGCCGGGTCGCTCTACCGCGATCATCACGGCCTCAGATGTCCCGCCTGCCGCTCTGTGGTGGAATACGCGACAGAGATCGACGGCGCTCGCAGGACGGCCTAGTGAATGATGCGACTGACTGATGCGTACGGGGGGGTGGGGTGGACGGGCGGTGCATTGCGTTTGTGTTTGTGGCGAGAGGGGTAGCCACACACACACACACACACTGCATGCCCGTGTGTGTGTTGCGGGGGAAGAGAGTGTTTCTTTTGCGTCGCCTACACATGACATGTGGCCATCCATACACAGCTGAACACACTACACTACCCACTGTCCGTACTCGTCTCTCTGTTCTGTGTGTGTGGGCGTGTCGAATCAGAGACGCTTTTGTGCATACCTGCATCAGCATCGTGTGTGGTGGCTGGCTTTGTGTGTATCATCATCTCTCTGGTAGAACAATACGCCTGTCTCTCATCTAGGGCGTTCCGCCCCTTCACCAAAAAACCATCCATATGCACAATCTGATGTGAGTCCCTTTTGATGTGTGGAGGGAGGGGCTGAGTGCGCAGGTAGACAGGTGGTGGTGCCGAGTGAGCGAACGAGATATGCTCACGTGTGTGTGCGGTGCCATTATGGTGCCCTCAGCAAGCCGACAAGAGAAGGGCACGGCCATGTAGAAGGGTGTGGTGTGTATGTGGGAATTGCATTGCATGGTGATAACACGAGAGAGAGAGAGAGATGCGAATCAATCCAATCACCACCAAGTCGTTTTTCTGCACACTTGCGTGCGGTGGGCTGGGCTGTGGCTTTGCGAGTACACATGCATATTCATGACCTGTGGGGCAGACAGGCCAGGCCGAGCACATCCATTCATCCACACACACACATGTCGCCGGGTGTCGGCGGTCTGCCAGGCCAGCTCTTTTCATTCATCTGAACTTGGTGAGTGACGACTGACTGGTGTGGGGTGGTTCGTTGTCGCTCTCCTCTCGTCGGTGCCGTAGAGGCCGCCCATAATGCGACAGCGTCACCTTCACTCACTGTGACACTTACTGTTGCATTCGGCAGCGTGTACAGTCCAATGTGATGTGTGTGGAGGATGCCGACCGACGGCCGACAGACGGACAGTCACTTGCTTCATATCGATAAGTCAACGAATTTGGCGGCATGGCATGTGGCACACACACAACGGTCAACACGGGAGTGTCATCCTGGCCTCCGTCCATTCCATCATCGCTTGACCATCATGCCCCTGACCTGACACATCGCTCTCCAGCTTGTTCGGGCCAGAGGTGAGTGTCACGCTGAGGGTGCGATGGAAAAGCAACAACGACAGGAGGACGTCCACTCTCACACACCAAGACACTGGAGAACAAACCGCCCCTCGCTCCCATACTGATCTGACCCAACTAGTCAGTTGCATCACAGCACACCAGACCGCACCACATCAGTCAGTCAGTCCAACTCAATGCACTCGCCATCCACACCACCACCACCCGCCGCGCTGCTCCCACCACCGCCACCCCCGGCCGCCTTTCTGTCTGCCATCCTCTTGAGCAACGCGTCCATCGGCCCTGACACACACACCGTCGCAGCATCCTGGTTCCGCTTGCCGCCCTTCTTGCCTCTCTTGGGCGCTGGCTGCTTTGGCTGTGCGGCGGCCGATGATTGGGGCAGCTGACGCTTCTGGGGGAGAGGGAGGGGGAGGGAGGGTTGGAGAGAGGCCGACGAGGGTGCCGGTTGGCAGGGGCTGGACGAGCATGACGGCGGCTGTGGCTGTGGGTGGTTGACGTCGACATCCTCCTCCCATTCCTCCAGGTCGATTATGTCGGGCAGCAGCAGCTGGTTGCCGGGGTGGTCATCTCCGGCTGGCGCGTCAGCGTTATCGCCCATCTGGTCAATCTGATCCATCTGCTCGTCGTCCTCGATCTCGATGCTGATATCCCCCACCTCACTGGCTTTGCCCTTGCCGCCCTTCTGCTTCTGCTGCTGCTGCAGGAAGTAGTCAATGGTGCCCTTGGGCGCCTCCCTCTCCTCGCCATCAGGCCCGGTCCCGCCAAACACATGAGTGAGGTTGGCGCACTTGATGCCCAAAAGGCGGATGGCCGGAGGGGCCTTGGTGTCGTCCTGCACAGAGGGGGTGCGTGAGGGGGGGCGAGGTTGCGGTTGGGGGAGGGAGGGGGGCTTGGGAGTGGCGGGGGGCGGGGCG